TTCCTTCTGAGTCCAGCATGTGCTGGGAACTGAGAAGAAACATCTGGCTCCCACAAGTCTAATACTATATTCTTACGGTAATGCAGAGCCCTAAATTTTGAACTCTTTGTACTTGAAATGAAAATTTCTGGCTATGTGGTATCAATACACAGCTTTAAATAAAATAATTAAGAGCAAAGGAGACAATAGGAAAAAACATTTTGATAGTCAAGGGATTAGGTAAGTTATCTAGGCTGAGCAAGAATTAGCAGGACAGGGACTAATTTTGCTGACCAAGATTACTTTTCATCTGTGGTTTACATTACAGCAGAAAATCAAGTTTCAGGCTACGAACTAATAATCAGGAAGCCAGAAAACAACTGCAACCTGGTTTAGTATTAGAGAAGCTACCCAGATTCTGCACAGAACTCCAATACATGCAGCATTAACAGCTTTCACAGCTGATGTACCAACCCCCAAGCTCCACTGATCTGCTTTTCCCTGTCAGTCTGGTCTGTACTGATAGACAGGAAAAGGCCAGGCCCCTGATTCAGCCCCCATTTCCTTCCTCCTCCAGGTTAGTGCTTACTCGGAAACAACATGCCACAAGGTCTCGTTTAGTTCATCACCACTGTTTTGATATGTGGTTTTGGTCAAAGACACAGCATTTCCTTGATATACCAGGAAATAATCTCCTAGCAATTCTTTGAAAAGCCCAAGCTCTTCCAGTTATTTCAGTAAAACAGTTTTTCTCTTTCTAGAAAAAGTTTCCTTTTTCATTTTTTTATTTGGGGCTAACATAATACTTGAATCTCACTGACTTCACCTTCATCATTAAACTAGCTAATTCTTTACTACGGGAACTTGAAAAGATAAATCACAGCAAAATCTCAGCAGAAAAAGCCTAGGCAGAGATTAAAAGAAAGGAAGGCTTTTTTATATTTAATATTATACAGTCTTCTATCCACTTGACCATGAAATTCTTCTTCCAAAAAGGAATGAAAAAAACCAAACCCAAACCTGAGGACAACCAAAAATTAAAGAACTATCTTGCAAAACACAGATATCTACAAACTTTCATTCAGATCATTTCATTTCGACAGAATGAAAATGTTTATCATTGTATGACATTTTATCACTTACAGAGATTTATTTCTAAATAAAATATTTCAATAGCCTGTGAATGCCTACTTTGTTTTCACAAATCAAAGTGCTTCGAATTTCCATTTCCTGACAATTTTTGTATCTTTGAAGGTATCAGAATGGACACAGGTCCACAGAAAACTGCTTTTGGTCAAGTGGCTATAAGAAAAAATATTCTTTTAATTTTATGAAAAAATTTCTATATCTTTTAGCTAAGTAAACCAAACCACATTTTCAAGTGTTAATGAGACACCTGCTCACAGTTACTTTGGTTTTCATCTCTGATCTCAAATCGTACTGAAAATGGAATCTATCTTTCGATTTCTTTATAAGAAACCTCAATTCAAACAAGCACTCTGATGTTTTATTTTACAGCTCTCTGATATACCAAATTACAGCCATAAACATATTTTCTCATTGGTTCTTAAGAAAATTTAGTTCCCTTATTGACTCTATTGGTATCTGGCATTAAAACTGTAGTTTATTAAGGAGGTTTTAATTGTAGTTACTGCATATTGTCAATAGCTCTTAAACCCAGTCATTCAGCTAGAAACACATTAAATGCTTACAGTTCACTCAAGAGGCATCCTGGTTCTCTAACACAGAGCTGATTGACGACATAAGTAAAGCCAGTTTCCTTTACCAGCAAAAGCTATCCTTTTTTCCCCTTTTGTCAAACAGAAGTACACCCTGCAGTCAGTTCAGCATTTCCTGAAAAGTTCCAAAGAGCCTATCTCTTGAAAGAATTTCAGGCTTCAATCAGAACCAAAATCATTTCATGCCAAGTTATGAAATAAGGCACACAATATGATCTTACTCTGTAACATTTTTCCTCATTGTACCACAAAAGTATCTGACTTGGTTTAATGTAACTTTGTATCAAAATTGATGGAAACAGTTTGTGGTTTTTTTTCACAGATAGTTAATTTTTTTTTAAAGAAAACCATTTTCTGCTTATCCTTGTTCCTTACATGCAACGTTTTTCAGAAAAAAAGAAGAGGGAAAAAAATATAAACTCACAGCCTACCAGAATACTTGAAGAAAAGAAATTTCCTTATGAGATGAAGCTTCATGCTACTGAGTCTTTGTTTCTCTCCACATGGAAACCTGTCTGCAAATGACAGCATTATTTTTATTTTAACAAAATTGGCTAGGATGTGTGCTGGCACAACTATGTAAGCTAATGAAACAAAAAGAAGAAATTGCTGCTGTGTCTTTACAGTTTTCTCCCTTTCCCTCCTTTTTATCCAGTTCTCTGTGGAATATTAAAATTGTATCATTTTCAGCACCAACTCGCAGCACCTTAACTCAGTTTAACTCCTTACATCTCCACTATTTTCTTTCCTTATGTTGTTCTATTATCAGAACATGGGTTCAACAAGGGCTATTGGAAACAGCAGTGAAATGTCTCACTACAAATGGTTTATTAGTCCCAAAAAGAAAAATTCTTCTCCTATAGATGTACAAGCATCTCCTTTTTCCAACTGCAGTCAAAATAACAGGCAATTTTCCAGTACTGGCATCTTAAGGACAAATGTCAAGAGATTTTAACAACCTTTTGTCTAAAAGAGGAAGGAAAGTAACTGTTGGTGGAACATGTTAGCTGGAAAACAGCAGCTGAAAGCTCCTACAGGAAAGAATGAAATATGAGCAAATGGTGTCAGCATGATCACGTGACAAAAAAACAAGTCATACCTGGTTTAAACAAAACTCACATAGAGGAAGAATTTTTAGACACTAGGTTAGTGCATGTACAGTGGATTTTGGTGGTTTAATTCTCTCCTGTGGCATGCACCCTTGACAACAAACTTTTCATTGAAAGCATGACAAAATCTCAGTGAAACTGAAGAAGCTGTGGGAAATCCCTATGTTCTTAAAGGAAAATATAGATAAGAAAATCTTCCCAATAAAGCAGACATCAGATGACATCAGCTATCTATGTAATCTATGCAATGATTTACATTGCATCTCTTAGAGGACACAAGTGCTTTGGAAGGTGAAAAAAGATCTTGTATACCAAAAAAATATTTTTAATGTTTGTGATTTGGATGACCAATCTATTCCCTAAGCATAAGTTTGTATTTTGTACCAGATATGCACAAGAAACGATTCTTCTGTTCGGGACATGTAATTTTCCTTCATTACTTCTCTGGATTTTTACCATTATTTTGACCTCCATTGCTTCAAAATTGGTATTTTTCCATCTCCTTGTCAGAGAAGCTGCATGCTACTACATGTTTAGGTTCTGCTTTTGGCTACTTCTGAAAGAGGACAGCCAATTTCAATAGCTACTCTTCTTGATGGGTACTTCACCTGATTCTATTAAGTTGCAGTCAAAAAGGACAAAGAAAATTGTATTATATGGAAATAACTGGAAAGTTCAAAGAACATGATTATCATATAGACAATCATAGGTAGAACTCTCCCTTGTTTACTGTAAGAGACATACATGCTGACAGATCTAATTTATTACATTACCTAAGGTCAGTCTTCTGCACTTACCTCCTGAATTGTCTCCTGGACTCCATCTACCCACGCTCCTGATGGGAGCCCAGGGAATTTACCTGGCTACCTTAACCACCTAGTCTGTTAGTTGTCTATGGCTGGCTGGGGCAATTGCTCCCCCAGACCACCTGGCCCACATGATTATTTCACTGAAGAGCCATCATCACGCAATGTCAATTAACTTCTTTTACATAATTGTAGTGTGTTTATTACTGCAGAAAACCACGACTCAACTAAGGTAACATGTCAGGGAGTAGAAAACCTCCTGATAGGTTTCACACACTGACTTGCCTCCTGTAAGACTAATCCAGTGTTCTATTGTTTATTTGTTTTATTTCTAACTTCAGTTACTTTTACAGGATTACAAGACATCAGCCAACCTGTAGAATCCAATAGTTCAGTGTATCTCCAGCAAGTATAACCGATCCAGTATGCACTTAGCACAAAAAGGAAAGAATATAACAAAAATCAGATGTTCTGGGCCTCCCCTTTGGTTTTATACATCTACTTCTGCTTTATTTCAGATATTCTACCTCAAAAGGTACAACTGACTCAAAATATAAAAAGATGCAAGAACCAGGCACCAGTCTGAGTTAACAAGCTGCTTGCCAGCTGAGGAGTCATGCACACATCCATTATTACAAGTCTAAAAATAGCAAGCTTTTGAGAAGCTCTTAGAACAGCAAAATGTGGCATGTCGATATAAAAGTAATTTGTGGATGAAAAAAAAAAAAAAGATGGTAAGAAGATATTTCAAACAGACTGTTAAAGAAATAAAGCAATTTAATCCAAACTTCCAGAGGCAAATATTGCCGTCATTATCAGTGATGATAGAACCAACTGCTCTATGTGGGGTCTTGCCGCATTCCCTTCAGAATGTCCAGGTTCCCAGGCAGCGGGGTCTGCTCCAGGTAAAAGCTACACAATTTCTTGTCACTCCTTGAACACTCTCTAGGTGTTTTTTCTATCCATTTTCTATCTTCCCACAGCATACCTTTCCAGACCAATTGTGTTCCTTGCTGCTCCACACTTTGCACAGTGGAAGTCAGGTCCAGTTGGGCCCTCAATGAATCTGTTGTGACAGCAAGGCATCAAATACCAGATGGTGGCCCATAGCTTCTTCTTTCTTCCTAACAGATGTGCAGGCCACTTCAGAAGTCCTGGCAGAACCAACTTGGCTGGTCTACTGAAATGACGCACTAGTGCTGGCAATCAACCTCAAAATCTTAAATATGGTACAAACTACGATTCCGGCCCAGAGGAAAAAGGGTAAGAAAATTGTAAATACCTTCAAATTAGAACTCTGTAATCTCATCTAGCCTTTCAAATCAGGAGTCTAAAACTAAATACTGTGCACGTATTGCAGCTACACAGTGAGGTTCCTCATTTGTTGGCAGATCTGGAATTTCACATGTCAGTCACACAGGAGCACTAGGAGGAATTTGAGAAGCAAATGTGAGGTAAATACCCCTGCTGTGATCTCTCGGCATCATTTTGCACTTCCTTCTTTTAAGAAGGGCACACCCTTAGGATGACTATTTTGATGTGTGCACCATTTTCTGGGTGGAGGCTCTGTACACTTCTTCTTGACTTCCATAAGAAATGCCCCATGAGATTCACTCCCTCCAAGCGCATTCTCCTTTATGAGCAGAAAACTGCAGTTTAAGAAGTTCAGCTATACACAACCCCCCCACCCCCAGACTGCAGTTATAGGATGGGCCTTCTATATCCATTAGCTCAGGTAGAAAAGGATTCCCAGCCAGGAGAGAGACAAGAGGAGCAGCTGTGTAGTGGCTTCCTCAGATGCTGAACTGCACTTGGAAGTCTCTCTAGATATGAGTCTCTGTGGTCCAGTCAAAGGGGGAAAAACTAAAGACAACGAGCTGTAATGGGTGGGAAGACTTTCTTTGAGGGAGTGTCCTTTTCCAGAATAGCTCAGTCTAAAAGTCTTTCTCTGAGTACACACTGCACTAGATGCTCATGCAATAGAGCATTTGTTAGCAGCACATTTTATAGTCTGCAAAGAAATGAAGTTCAACTGCTCATGCTCCAAAGCACTGGAAAACACAGCCATCCCTCAGCTCAAACCCACACTTTGGCACAACAATGCAAGATGCAGGCTATACTCATTAGACAGATCAGTTCCCAGGCATGGTCCACTTCAGTCTGCAAAGCTAACCAGAAAAAAAATCACAAAATGATAAGGAAATGCTTCCACCACACCTGCAGAAGACAGCCCAGCTGTACAGTTTAAATACTTCCTATACCAGAGGCACACGATTTTGAAGACCCTGGCAAGGCCATTTCCTGGTGTAATGAACACCTGATCAATCTTAGCTGGAAACCCTGCATCCATCCCTGGGAACACTAAGAAGGCTTTCCAAAGGACACACTGCTATTTTCACCAGGGTAGGAATAAGGTATCTAGATAGGGTTTGTCACACAACTAAAACAGTGCACAGACTACCTAAAAGGGAATGCTAAAAGGAGATGGTTCACTGTGAAAGTAGAACTCAACTTTGCATTTCATCAGAGAGATATGGAAACATGTGACAAAAAAAAATAATAATCTCACAAAAAGGATATTACTGGGATGGTCACTAAATTTGATTTGACATGATACTAGATACATATAATTTGACGTGATATTAGAAGAGAAACATTTGTAATGTGTAGTACTAGTTCTACAGTAACTGAAAACTGTCAACACACACTTAGCTGTGCCATAGGCAAAATACTCTGTATTCAAAGAAACATAACATATGAACACTGACACTACAGTTTGTTAATACTTGTCAGGTAACACAAGGAAGTCACATGAAGTACCAAGAAATCAAATGAGAAATCATTTACAAATTGTAAGTTCCTACTAAGAGCAAATCAGCTGTAGTGACAGAAATCAAAGCTTTTAACACATCTGATTGTATGCATCCTTGGTAGATTCAAAGGTGCAGACGTAACATGAAAATTATTTTTAGAGCCTTATAGCTAGATACATGTAGTTACCTTTTGCTACTTTCCCCCCTACAAGTGGGCACGTTCTCAACAATTTTCCCTTTTATTCTGGAATGCCATTTTGATTGGGGATCAGGACATTTTCGGTTTTCTTATTTCCCAAATTACTTGGAAGAAAAAAAATGCAAAGAGTATCTATGTATCACTTAAATGGAAAAACTAAATTATTGCCAAGGTCATAATGATTTATTGTGGAAGTCTTAGTTTAATTTTAAAGGAAAAAAAATGTTCTTTTCAAGGCATAGAACAGTATTATCTGCTGAATGCAAATTGATACTGATTCTTTGTAAAGAACCTTTTGTAAAGAATTCTTTGTCAGTCCAAAACATCAGTACAGTAGTAGTAACTGCTATTAATGAACATTGCAAGTAGACCATCTGACAAGAGCCATTACTAAGACCAGTTCATGGCCTGACTTCATTGAAAATTACAGTAATAAATTTTTTAGTCCTTAGTTCATCTATTCAATATCAAAATGTCAAATCCCTCTGATTAGCTCAGCACATACAATGTGTTTGAATATCTGAAAGGAGCTTCGGAAGCACTTTGCTTTCATGTCACGTGCCCAGGGTCACCAAACAACTGAAACGCAAACTTAAAAATTCATTACCCAGCCTATGCCATTTAAGCTCAGCAATCAACTTACAAACTTTGTATATGCAAGACAGGAGATCACTTGCCAAAATGACATTTATACTCAAAGTAAACAAACAGCACAGTCTAGATTTCCTAATGCATCAGACTGTTTGCAGGATCTGATTGCTGATGCTTAATGCTCAGACCACATGCATGCAAAGAAGCCATATGACTGTGAAAACACAAACCACTCTGCTTAAACCTGAAACCTTCATCCTACAAATCAGAAAGGACTGGGTTAAATTGTGGATTGTGCTGTCCTCAAGCATTCCTCCAGTCTTCTCCATTAGCACTGATATACCCTTGTTGGAGCCCAGGACTCACTTTGCTTTGCTAAAGGGATGGAAAAACATGTTTAGAAGAAAGAAGTAAGGAGTAAACAAATGGAGATAAAAGATGAGCGCATTTGTGGAACCACTTAGAATGACTACATTGCTAAAATAATGTTGTAATGTGAGGAAATTGGCTGTGAGTAGGTTTGCAGCTACAAAGAGCCACAAAACCTCAACATGGTTTGAAGCGGTTTTGCTGAAGGGAAGCAGCTGTAGCAGCTGGCCTGGATTCTGAAATGTGTTTGGGAAAAAAACACCAACCAAACAACAAAACTCCTCACATCTTCAAGATGTACATATCTGCAGAGAACATCAGGAGAGCCTTGAGAGCTCAACAGGGCTTGGATGAGAACCACACCTCTTCTCAGGAAGGAGTGATGAGTGCACAGGGACCCTTACTCAATTTGCTCTCTTATTTTCCCTGTGCAGCTTCTACCAGCTTTTGTTCTTCCAAAAGGTAGGCTGGGCTAGAAAGCTCTTAACACTCCTCTTTCCACCAAGTGTATTTATCTGAGCAAGTCCAATGGGCCTGAATCCAGCTACAACAAACTTTCTGGGAACCTCTGACTGTTATGAAATGTAGTGACTCAGCCAAGCTACATAAAAAAGAGGATATATTTTTTATTTACTGGAACTTAATAAACCAAGGCAGGAAAAAAAAAAGTGTCAGAAAAGACACATTCCCACATATCTTCATCTTAGAAGGATTAGTCCTCCTCTCTGACCCTAGGCAGGTGTTGCTATCTGGCTTTCTGCCTCTCTCCCCTAGCCCATAGCTCTGCACTTCAGACACTCCTAGTCACCTGTCCCATGATGCAGTTGAATCAAAGGTATCAGTGCTTATTTATGACCAGCGTTTCCCCACTTATGTTCCCATTGCCATGGTGAGCAGCAACAGAGCCTGAAATATAAGGTCGAAACATAGCCTAGATATCTCCCACAAGCCATATGGAATAATCATTTTCTGAGGGAATTTCTGGCATAAATTTGCACTTGCTCTCTGACCAAAAGCATGCCTCAGCTCAGCACTCTGGACTCCTAACTGAGCTCCTAGGACAGAGAACAATAAACATCCCTAAAAATCTTGAACCCAGATTCCTCTACAGAAACTGAAGAGGAACATGCCAGTTCCTTATAGGTTATCAGTGTTACTTCTTTGATCTCTGTCAGCTTCACTGTGTTTCCTTCCACCATGTGGAAGTTCAGGTCTATTGCACATACCTGCACTGCTTGCCAAGCACCCCAACATCACTTCATAGGAATTGATTATTATTTTTCACCTTTCACAGCTTTCAGAGCTTTTCAGCCTATTGTTGCACAAATAATGTATGACAATATATGTTGCATCTGAATATATTTGTGAAGACAAACCAGACCTCTTCCCCAGTAATTATTCCACTGAAAATCAAATGTTGGTCTGCGTGTCTCAGGTTACTCAGAGCTAATGCAGTTAGCATCACAGTACAGTAATGTAAACTACATCAAACTAATCACACATCAAGACAGAGGAAAAAAATAGGAGAAATCAAATGAACCCTGGAAAGAGAGATCAAGTACTGGCTGCCAGGACTGCACATACTGAAATTCCTGAGGAAAGATTAAAATTATTGTGGTAAGTACATCATGATTTAGGCCAGCCTAAGAGGGAGGCTGTCCACTTGGTGAAAATCTGGATCAAAACAAATATTCAGCATAAGAGACCATGTTCTGGAGACAGGTATGAGGACACAAAGTGTGAAGCACCAAAAAGGCAGAAACATAGTAAGAACTTACCATCACTGTCTGGTCTCAGCAGGAGTCAAAATTCAATTACTGGGACCTACCAGATTTCAGTATAAATTGACATTTCTGGGCATTAAATAGGATTATCGATAGATGAGAACACAAAAGTGCAGTATTGACAATAGTGCCAGTATATCACAATGGTGATACTGCAGCCCAGTTTGGTATCCTAGGCTTGATGAATAATACACTGGGCAAAACAGAAACTTTTCATTTCTGTGTTACCTCCTGTATCACCTCAGCCTTCTCTGAATTAATTTTAAAACAGCTATTTTGGGAACTTATTAAAACAAAGGCAGCTTCCTGTCAGTTTTAGCTTGGGAGACCATCAAAAATCCAATTCTAGCTGCAGCTTATGTGGAATCAAATGCAGACTCAGGCCTTAATTTTGACATAGGTATCCCAACACAGAGACATCAGCTCTGTTTTTTCCTCTGTGAATTGCAACATATCTTTTCTACTGCTAAGTTTTCATGTCATATGAAAAACAATGCAATTTAGAAATTCTTCTCCTCTACTTTGATACAATCTTGGGGAATGCAAGTGAATTCTTCATTTTAATCTGGATCACCAGCAAGATGAAAGAGCATAAAAATTTAAAAAGAGATCAAAATTAAGAAAAAGATGTAATATCCAAGGAAAACAAATAAATATTTAGCCAGAAAACAGGTGTAGCTGAATGGAAACTTCCCTGTGCAATATGAAAAGTGTCGGTAAATGGCTGTGAATAGTTCTTGCCTACTTTACTCACTTCATATCAAAACCACACTTCAATGCTTTGTTGTTTCAGTCCTAGGAGATCAGAAATATTTGCCTTGAACTGCTACTGACCATACACATCAGTTTGTTCAGAAAGACCAAAAGTTTTGTAGTAAGTGTGTACCATAAGCTGAGGAGAAACGGTTCAGAAGTTGTGTTATTCAGCAGGCAAAAGTATACCACAGCCTTTACACAGGGAAAGAAGTCCTCTCTCAAAGAAAGCCAATGGAAGTAAAAACAAAAGGACACTATAAGGAAGATCAAAAGCTCTCAGTGCATTGAGGTGACCAGCATGCAGCACATCAGAACTTTCCAAAACACTACTGTACTTTCTAGGTACAGTGCAGATTCTAATATCTTTCCAAGGGCAATAAAGTCTGGAAACTGGTCTGGAAGGTAGTCCTGATGAATTCCTAGATGACAGATATATATGTCACTATGTTATAGGACTGAACAGCAGCATATGCAAGCCAGGTCTCCATCCTGAAGGTTATATGATCCTGTGCAAGTCATTTCCCTGTCTTCTTCTTGATATTTCCAGGTGTAGCAAAGACAATATTGATGATGCCCACTGTATTATGCATTTAGACAAGATGATGAAAATAAATAGAATTGGATATGTACTTAAGAAGAAATAATTTGCTGTGGCTTCTTCTCTTCATTGACTATCATGCAAACTCATCCAAGGAAGCTTAACAAGATATTGACTGAAATGCATCTGGAACTGGACAATCCAGATTCAACCCTAGCAGTATAAGAGTTAGCATCATTATTAATATGCTGAATACCACTTCTCCAAAAATCTCAAAGTGAAATATCATAATTCACCTTTAGGTCAGAATATCACATCTAGAAGGTGGAGTTTTTTCCCACTCCACAGGTATGTTATCATAAATATTAACTGGAAAATGTCTATTTACTTCAAAGAGGAGGGGGGAAATGTGCTCAGACTGGAGATGCCCATGGCAGCTGCAGAGAGGAAACAAGAAACTAAAGAAGTCTAGACCAACATGAAAGCTTTTAACATGCCACTGTAAAGGTTCAAGACTTCTTTAAGAGTCAGATGATTTTATCACCAATCACCTTAATGATGGTGCATAATCAGCAAAGGGGAGCTGTGGACACAGTTTGACTCTAATTATTTGAATCCATAGATTTTTTCCAATTTCTATTTTTTTGAAAGACAATATAAAAGTGAAAACACAAGTCCTAAAAGAAGCAGCAGAAAAGTTTTACTGAGCAATCATATAATCATAGAATACCAGGCTGGAAGGGGGACTCAGGACAATTTTGCAGTGGCACTCCCAAGGCAATGCTCACCTCACCTATGCAATTCTTCCAGCATGAAATCACACCCACAAGCTTGTAATCCAGCCCAGGGACTTCAAAGAAAAATGTAGTTGTCACCTGTACCTGGTGTTCATCTAAATAATGTCCCCAGCAGCAAGAAATTGACACAGCATAGCTACTTATGACACAAGCAGTCTGTGATCTGCCTCACCCACACCTTCTCTCTTTCCTTGGTAACTCTGGAAAAGAGCTTATCCTTCCCTTGGATACCCTTTGACAGCAAGGGACATCCTTTTAACTCTTCTCAGTGGAAAATATCACAGATCTAAGGTACTTGTGACAGCCAAGGCTTACCTGTTCCCTCTGGTCGACTGATCACATTTATCAGCCCAGATGAAGATTATAATGGATGCAAGGACTCCTTGATGACTTTTCCCTCACAGCCAAATCTCTCCTTTGCTGCTTTATGAAAGTTGAAATATTTATGTGCAAATGTACCAATATCAAAATTCCATGTAAGATTTTTTTAACTCTAGGGTGGAACTTCAGAGGGAAACTAAAGAAATATACTTAATCTGCTCTGTGAGTACCAGCACTTCTGTAAAACAAACACGGCAGTGATGAAGGATCTCACACAACCCAACATCTTTGAAACTCAATCTCATACAGCATAAATACAGTCCCCTGATTCACCCTCTTTTCTACCTCCTCTAAATGACTATATTTGAATCATGCACATGAGAAAAAACATCAGGACAGTACCATTACCTGTACTACATATGTCGCAGAAGCACAAATGGCATGGAATGTCTAAGCCTTTTAATAATGATGCTGTTCTCCACTGCAGATCACCTGGCACACACAGTTCAGCTCTCTGAAAATATAATGCAGTCACTCCCTGATTAAATTACTCCTGGAGTGGAAAAGACATTGAGCAGCCTGCCTGTTTCAATTGGCTGTGTAGTGACTGAGCTCCATGAATATGGAAATAATTGGATATCCTAGACCAACATAGAGGAGGACGAGGAATATGTGACCCACATAAAGGGCATGCTGGAGTTGCATTAAAGTGAAATCACAGTGTAATATTAAACAAGTGAAAAGTCCTTGATATCAGTGATAGAGGTTAGAAAACAAATCAAGATTACTTCAGTAAAATGCCAGAGGGTTCCAACAAAGATGCAAAGCCTTTTCAAATGCATTTTACAGGCTCCTTTCTCCAGGGAAAGAGGTAAAACTGAGATTTTATTTTAAATCCTAATTCATAACTCTAATCTACACCTTTGTGTCTCTTTTGTTCTTGATGATTAATAGGTTTACAAGACTACTAAGTAGCTGGAAGATAAGTATTTTTACTTGGGCTCTGAAGCTTTGACCTTAGTAGTAGTTAATAGCCCAAAAGATTCTAATCAGACTATGAGAAATGGACAAGTACCCTAGGAAAACCAAAAAGCTTTACCACCAGATGAGCTTGTTTTCACCAACTCAAGCAGACACACTGCAAAGAAAGTAAGAAAATTACAGCCCTGAATTTTACTGGAAAAATTCTGTCACATATGTCTGTAAAATCTTTTTAAAAAAGCATATATTTTCCTTGGACGTGACTCACTTTCCCACCTGTGCTAACCAGGAAGAACCAGCACTCCAGTATAAGAGGTGTTTTGGTGAAATTGAAGTGCTCTGCTTCCCACATACTCCTGCAGCTTGAGTAATGCATGCACATAGAATTCTAAACATTTTTTGTCCCCATCTGAAAACTAGGGCTACCAATTCATGACAATATTTTTAAAAGGTCCTGAGATGTACTCTCAAAACAGTTTTGCATGGACCTTACATTTGCAAAGATCTAGTTTCTTAGTGCAGTTAGTTCCTAAGGATTTTAGAGTGAAGCTGTATTTTCCTTTCTCTAATGCTAAGAAATTTTCCTTTCATTCCTTTAACATTACATAAGTGCTTTTCATTTCCTGAACAATTTTCAGAGAAAGCCGCTATATTTTTGGAATATCTTATTAATTCATAAATTTATATACATGGTTCAATTAAGTATCAGAAAACTTCACCACTGACTTTTGTCTCATAAAATCACCTTACACTATCCTGTAAATTAAAAGGTGAGTGGCATGTTTTCTATCCCTGTGGCTCAAACAAATCTCTGTATCAGTTTCTAAACTAGCAACCATTATTTACACAGTAAATTCATTAATCTAAAATATTTCTGTTTAAATTTGCTAGGATTAGAGGTAATATTATGATGTATTACATATTATCTTCAGATAGTTTTTTACCTAATAGCAGTATGATGAGAAAAAAATCAATGCAGGCAACATGATTCACAATACACACCACCATACATTTTGCTAATAGCTTTTTACAAGTTTTCCCGAAGTTTATTTAAAATCTCTTCCCTGAAATCAAGAGGCTACACCTTCTCACAAATAAAATAATACAAAGTTTCCTGTATAAAGGGTGTTTCAAAACTGTTACCTCTATTTTCAGACTATTCTAACCGAAGAAGAATGCTTTTCTAAAATACTGGCTCCACATTAAAAGCACACATGGGAAAGACTATTTGATGTAAAACTCCTCCTTTCAAAATCAATACAACTGAAAGTTTCCCTCTGTGAAGGAGGTTGGTACGTATGTGGTCATTCTAAATGTTAATGAAAATATCATGAATCCAAAGAATCCAAATATACACATACTCTGGTCTGGGCAAGTTGAAATCTAACTGTCCTATCAGAGGTTGGGTGGCTGGGTACAAAAGCTAAAAAAATAAAAATGAACCCAATGCACCTTTCAAAACTGGAACCCACTTGGTTCACTGAGTGATTACCACTGATCCCTGGCACATGTAGCTCTAACTCTGTTATGATCATGGCCAGCACTTTCATAACTACCTTCTGTGAAATCAATTCACAGGGGAAAATGCTGAAAAAAAATCTTAAAACCCTACAAATACTAAAGCCCCACTTTTAAGACTGGAATTTTCTGCCCTTCCAGATGTAGTTGAAGTACCAGCTTGGTAGCAGAAATTGCAGCACAGATGACATAACAACTCCTCACCTTTCACAATTCACATCCCAGAAAAAGATGTGAGTGCAACACAAACCAGTGACCATCAGTACTGGTCTGGGTAACATGAAACCCTCTTAAGCTCTCTGCCTTGGTGAGTATGCCTAGGAGGCCTTTGGATGCTCAAACACTCATGTGGTTTCAACATTTTGGCCTGTAACTCCTAGTAAGTTAACTTAAGTAAGACAACTTTCAAAAGAAACGATCTGTTAGTAAACTAGGTGGAGTTACAGATAGCTAGACTGGTTTGAAAACTAAGTGATTCTAATTTCTAAATATGGCTATACAATAAAAGATGATCTAGTAGGCAAAACTGACCTTAAATGCAGGACATTTAAGTCCAGCTTTTGGTTCTGCCACTGGCCCACTGGCAAGATTCCGTGTGAGATTTTTTGCCATGCACAAAAAAAAAATGGAACAATAAGAGAATTGCCTCAAAATCTGAGCAACATTATAAGCAGATGATTAAGAGATATATTGAGCTGCAGACTTTTGGCTTTGAAGATCTTGATCCAGTTTCTTATCCTGGAAAGGAAGCTGGGATTATTCAATTTAAGAACTGTCAACTATTTATAGCATCAGCTATTAAAAAAAAAAAAAAAAAGTCTTTTAAGAAATAGCAAGCCAGAAACCTCTTTCTGCCTCAACCATCTCCAGTAGAAACAATTCCCAGGGGTATCTGCACACTGTTCCAAGGTTGCTGGAGTGCATATTGTTCCATCTCCTCTTGCCAGTAAATTGCCAAACCACTGTCAGACACACAATGGAGAGGAAAAAGGAAAAAGGATTCTGAGGATTTAACTTCAGTAGAGTTTCTATCACAGTTCTGTTACTTTAGGAAGATGTTGCCCATGTCCAAGTGACTGAATAACATTTGTCTGTTATCAAGGCAATGCAACCTGATCTAGTGGAAGATGTCACTGCCTATGGCGGGGGGTTGGACCTAGATGATCTTTAAACACTGTTCAATGCTAATGTACTCTTAAGAACATTCCCATTGGCATGGAACAGGGATAGCATAGTAGAGTTTAGCCTAAAACACATAAACCTGTTGATGATGAACCTGAAAACAGAATCCAGAACTGTAACTACTCTACAACTGAGGTACCTTAAAAAAACCAAAAAACCACACAGCTCTCTGCTATCTTCTGACAAACAACTTTCTGTCTCCGTATCAGAAGAAAGAAAGAGCTCTGCTCAACATTGAATATGTTAATTTACTCACTGGTAGAGAATATACCATGAAGACATTTTCTCTAAAAACTAAGTCCCAAAGGGAGGTGAAGACACTTACTCCTGTTTTGACTAACCAGTCAAATATAAGAATGTAACACATACACTAATAAAGATATCTGTGAGTCCCTAACATGGAAATCATTAAGAACCATGATGACATCTTAGCTGGATAGACACAAATGAAGTAGTTTAGGGATGAAAGATTAACACTGCACTGTCTAAAAACTTTTATAGTGCAACTGAATAAAAAATGAGAGTTTCTTCGGGAGTCAGATAATGGCCTGAGGTATGCTGGTATGGCCAAAGACATGGTGTGACAGAGCTTTCTCTCACCAGAGGGTAACTAACTGATGGAGGCTTGTGAGCAGGCATTTTCTAGTAGATGTGATCTGAAAAGTAAGCTACATGCAAACAAGAAAATTTTGTCAGAAGAGGATCAATTCAGTACGACCTGGTGAAAGAAAATAGAAATTAAGTATAAACAGATTCAGCATTTTTGCCTTATGTTTTTTGTCTATATCTTTCGTAAGTGTTTCTAAGTGCATTGCTGATTTTAACTGTTACAAACAAAAGTTCATAGAACATTTCCTCTTAACCTGTCTTGACTTGTGCATTGTTTAGACTAACTAGCCTTTCTTTATTAAGGCCATGGCAAGACAAAGACCGGGTCACAAGGGTAAGAAAACAAGCACCCAGTTAACCAGGTAACAGGAACCCAGTTAGGGCATGCAAGGAGAAATATAGCAAGCCATGAGCTCTGCTACGTTGACTAGGTGGAAAGCTGGCACCACAAACATCAGGAAAAACAAATAAATACCTTCCAGTAACTGTTAGGATGGAAATCAGTAGGATATTGCATCAACTCCGAAGATCCCAAAGAACACACCAAGCTACCCACATCACTTATCCTCCTTTCTCATTCGTGTTTTCTGGAAAATTAATGTCCAAAGAAATGTCAACACATCATGGTGGGATGCCAATAAGATTGTCTTTGAAAAGCAGGACTGGCTACCTCACAAACCAGAAGGGAAAGGGGGCAGCCCAATACACCCTCTGCCAGTGATGGTGGATCAGAGATCCTATCTAATTTTTTCAGAAAAAGGTTCAGAAAACATGTCATATGAAGACTGCCTTAGTTTATTATACTTCTTAATTTTAAGGAACATTCAACTTGAGATAACTTTAACAATAGGGAATAAGAGAGATTTTTTTTTTGGACAGTAGAAAACAGATTGCAGATATAAAGTGTGTATTTGAATGATGATAGGATATGGATTTACAGCTCCAAAAAATAAGATGACAGAAAATAATAAGATTTGGCATAATGTTGATTAAAGAAAGTTAAACCTCAATGGGTTTTAAAACACCTTAAAATTAATTTATTAATTTGAGTATTGTAAATGCTTATAGTAGTAAATATTTTTGTTCTATAAAATTAAAAATAGTTTACTGCAACTTTGTAACTCTACCCTCTATCATTCCTTACCCCTTTCCAAGTAAAAAAACCTTTCAACAAACTGTTAAGGGACACTTCTGAATGGAGTTAACACTAGGTGTAATTCAAACAGCAAACAGCTTCAGAGATGTGAGGAGCCAAACAAGATAGATTTAAAACACTTTGCTAAATCAAAAGTGTTTCTGGACATGCAGTACAGCATGTGTGCCTTAAAAGATGCAGACTCCCCTTGTAAGAGATGTCCCAAATATTCAGATGGATTGATTTAAATGATGAGAAAACTATAGAAAGCATGAGCAAAAATCTTGAATTATAAAAACTGTAACCTTGATACAGTAAAGAAAAATTAACATCCCTTGAATGGCAAGCTCTTAAATTGCTTGAAAAGAAATATGAACAAGAAATAGTATTTTCTAATTCCCCATGCACTAATCATAACTCACCAACAGTGGTTTCCCACACAAATCCATTTTCAATGCAGTTGCATTGGGCAATGTTGCAGTGACACCTTTCAGCTATTCTGATGCTCATAAATAATGATTCAACCTTTTAAAGCTATATACTTCCTCTAAGAAGCAACATTAAGTAGACAAGGAAGTAAACAGCTTGATATGAATAACTTTTTTATTTGGACTGCTCTTAAAAAAGAATACACAAAAAATACATTGTATATGTTTGAAAACAATTCTGCTCAAGTTAAACATTACCATAAAAGTCATCCTCTTACAAGGAAAGTGATTCACAGTGGAAACAATTTGAAACTCAGTTTTACAAAGTTTGCATAAGAATTGCCCAGCCAGGGCAAGAAATCCACTCACTCCCATGCTATGTGATAAGCATAGAGGACAAAACCAAAGCAATTACAAGAAATGGCCTTTCATTGATCCAGAGAACACAAGCTGATAGCAACATGCAAATAGGTAGTAGATACTGTTGAAATAAAAATACAGGATTTTAAGTGTCACATAGACAAGGAACAGTTTTGTGACAAGTATAAACACATTTTATCATTAAGAAAACCAAATAGCAATAGGATAATCTTAGTAACTATAAAGAAAATAAATACTGCATCTAATTCATATTCTAATTTCAGAGATAAGGATAAAAAATTGTCTTACCTCAAATACAGCCTGAAGAGAGTCATTAACAATATGCCTACATCCTCTCTTAGTTCCCTTGATAGCAATCTAAGAAGAAATACAAAATAGCAAATAACTGTCTTCCCTGCAGAGAACATGTGCCCAGGAATAACACACTTCCCAGTAAAGTGTGCAGAACAGAAGTAAAAAAGAAATTAAAAAATTAAAACTCAAAAAGACAATCCTTGCAAATTAAAAAGACAAGAACTTTATATTTGACATTCACAGTATGATTTTTTGCATTTTAAGGGAGTAGAGACATTCAGGAATTAGATAATATAGACTTAACTGTGATATTACCTCAATTCTCACTGAAATATTCATTCGGTACATTTGTCTACAAAAGGAAGATTATAAATTCATCCACACAGAACTCAGACACTGAACACATAAAAAGATTCCTATTCCAGTAGTAGGCACACATGGGCTCACACGATACAATCTTATTAACTTGCTTTTTCCTCCCAAACTACAGTGCTTACTAAAGCACTTACTAAATGTTAAATACTTTGGTCAAGAGTTCAGTCACTGACCTGCACTGAAAGCCTTATGTTCAGCTCCAACATTTTCTAACAGCAATCAAGGGAAAAAAAAAATGGTTTCACGGAATGAACTGTTAAAAAAGAAAATCCTCATATAAGCTTTCCCCGAGGGGAAAGAAATATCCACAAGCTTTAAATTGGCCAGGCGGATTTAAGAGGAAGCAAAAAAAAAAAAAAAAAAAAGGCAGCTCTTTCTGTTGCGTCAAAGAGCCCACTGTGCAATAGGAACAGAGAACAGAGTTGTTAAACTGGCAAGCTTTTGCTGAAGACAGCTTTTCAATATGCTCTCAGCATCGTCTCCCAGGGCTGGCTGGAGACAGTCCCACTCCTCTTATATGGGCTCTACTCCTTCAAGAGGCAATCGCTCTTAAGGACAGTTTCTATAAACACACTGTTCTCCTGGCTTGGCTGCACACGAGACAGGCAATTGCACATGTACACATACCTGCATTCAAGGAGTAGACCTGTACACACTTGGGGAAAATGCAGGCACACTCAAACTAGCCATCATTACCTTGGCTTAAGAGCAGGATGCTATTGATGACTGACTGCTTGCTAAAACTCCCTTCCCCACTTAGACCATTCACTGTGCTGTTGGAAATCAATCCTGAAAGGCACAGTACTTAGAGAGGAAACCTCTAATGCAATTCCACTGGGACGTCGTAGCCCCAGCAGTGCTCTCTGATTAAAGGAAATGAGTAGTCACAGGCTGCCCAGCTTTGTGTGTAGTGCAGAGAGCTCACAGAGCTACCAGAGACTGCAGCTACGTGGGATGAGTGAACTGTCCCTCCTGGGAATGATGGCTCCACTACTGAGGCCATCTCTGGAGGCTGAATCTGTGTACACATGGTGAACAGGGTGACTAGTCTGGTTAAACATTAGTAAAGCCACATTCTTCACTACATACAGGAAATTGCCACATAGGTCTCTGCAGGTAAGGACACCGCCCTGCATCCCTTCTACAAGCCATGGAGACTTAAGCAAAGGCATTCAGAGCACAGTTCAACCTATTCCAACCTGCATCTGGTCTGCTGAACCACCTTCTGGGCTTCACTGCCTACAAAGGGAACCCACGAAGGCTTTCCCAAAAAGAGGTTGCAGACAGCAACATTTTTAGAGATGAGTGCCACTCCAAATGACAAGCTGATGAATGCCTGCAACATGTGTGCAGAAAGAACTTGTGAGGAAGAATGGCATTGGTAAGGAACAGGAATAGAAAAGGGAAAATACAAACTGTGGAATGCACTTTTCAACGTGACTGCAGAATTAAAAGTGGGGACAAACATATGCAGCTGGTTAATTTAGAATTTCTCTTCTATTTCTGTATCTTTCAGAGTTGCCACAGGGACATTATGAGCCTGAATGTGTGGGAAGGCAGCAGAAGGAAATGAAGTATACGCAGGATACTCTATTTTGTTCTTTCTCTACTTTGTGAACTTCTATATGGAAAAAATACTGGTTTAACAGCTTCTATTGAAGCCCTTCCAGGTGAAAATGAATTTCTCTCCTAAAAAGTGCTTCCATAAATGACAGACTAAGTTTCTGCAAAAAAGTACCTTCATCTTAGAAGTGAAATACAGTATTTTCTAAACTTTTAGCCCGGTAAATTTAATACACAGTCCTATTTGTGCACCAAGCAGTGTGCTGCTTTACTGTGTTCTCACAACATCCAACAACTCACTGTGTCCAAAGTCCCAGCTGTAGTGTCACTGGAGTCATATGGGTGTAGATTTGTCCCTACGAGAGTAGAGTGATTACTAATTTTGTCTGTGCTGTGTGGAAGATAATTACAATCTGGTTAAGTTTCCCAGATCTAAAAGCTAGGCAGTTACTTTAACACTTCTCATAATAATAATACCTGATCATAAGATTACCTAAATGTTTCCCCCTATAAATCCAGACTCCCCATCACTCAAGACTATCAAACCACAGGCTGAAAGAAACTGGTAATATTTGCTCTTTTCTTGAAATGGATTTTTCATTTATCTTAGCATAATAAAAGTAGATTGATTTGCATGTCAAGCAGGTGGCCAGACCAGATGATGTCCTGATATCCCTTTCAATCTAAACTATTCTGATTCTGTGAAAATGAGGTCAATTATTAAAAGCTGCCTTAGGCTATTACAGAAATTAAGTGGACTGTGGCCAACTTCAGTGTTTTGAAGCCATAATTTGGATTCAACTGTCAACTGCAGTCTCAAAGATCTCCATTCTGAAACTTCAGGAGAAGCTACCAGATTTGTTGAAACATAAACCATAAGCATTTGTAATGGTATTGCCATCTATGAGGTCACTAATGGATATCACTTTATGGAGAGGGCTGTAGTGGTTCCCACAAATCCCTTACTGTTCCACTCTTGGGTTCCCAATCTCCTTTTATTTTTCCCTTCTTATCTATGACCCAGTCATCCAATCTCAATTTAGTGTCTTTCAGCTGCAAGGGACAAAGAAAGACACTGAGAATTATGAGTGACTGAAAGCCCAGACAACTTACGTCAGCTGTAGAAATCCCTCTGCACAAAGAAAAGGACACAAAATTGACTAAAAAAATCTACAAAATAACTAAACCTTTTGCATGATCCCTAGTTTTTGTGTAGCCTCCACCACACTGCTAGCTCAACACAGACTGTCTTCTCCAAGGCCTCACTCAGAAGACATTAAGAAGATGACCCTTTTCAAATCTTTTCTGTATTATGCAAAGCTTTATGTTCCTTGTTACCCATGCCAGACATCAATTCCTGCTCCCCAGGCCTAAGGAGTGACTATCAATTCAAGCCCACATCATTTAGCACAGCAGTTATCCCAACCTCTGCAGTCCCACATCACAGACCACTTAATCCCATACCTAAAACCCCAACCTACGTGCCCTTAGGGCTTGTTGTTAATACACCAGTCCTGTGTAAGTGACAGCAGCCTATGGCACCAAGCCAGGAAATCCAACACAGAATGGATGCTATCTCCTGGGATTTTACTGATCCAGAAATGTAGGTGGAGAATGACATTCAAAGCCCTTTGCTGCTGCCAAGAGCCAACTTAACACCTTCCACTCTCCTGGCTCATGGAGACTGTCTTTGGTGTGCAAAAGAAAAGCGCTACCACCAAGGTCTACAATATGGCCTTCACACACAACATGTATCTGTCCCTGTACTGCATCAGCTACACTGCCTGAATCCACAGCATTATCTCTGCTACTCACAAGCCTTCCTCAAGAAATAGGATGATCTTCCCAGGCAAAAATCATCCTTCACCATTGCCTTGAGGTCAATGCTGCCTCTTTCCTGCTATAGAAGGTCACAAAGCATCTTCCTGAAAAACAAGGCTCATGTAAGCATTTCAGCTGAGTCCTGTATTCCTGCAGGAAGGAGGCTGTGTGCACTTCCAATTGTCTGGCTAAAATGTTGAGACTCAGCATGCCCTGCACTGAGGAAATCAAATCAGCACATTCAGAGCAAGAACTCAGGAATGCTACTTCAAGTGGAGAGGAAGCTTCAAACCCTGACAGGCATAGCCCAGGCTCACCACCACCTACATGCTTGGCTCTAGGAATGGGAGATGAGCATGCAATGCCACTGGCACATCAGTAGTTCATGTTTAGTACAGCAGTGGCTCTAAACTCTCAGCCTGGCTAAAAACTGTAGCTTATGGTCCAAGTACATTCAAATATTATGCCACCTGTTGCAGACACAGTGCCCATGTTCTGAAGAACCACAGTGCTTCTCTTCCTCCCATCCACAAATAAAACTTTGGTGGTGTTTCCTGCTTGCTCAGTGGAATCACTTGCCCCAATCCCCTGCAAGTCTGATCCTGCTGCCTGTCTTGAATCTATGTCAGGATCACAGAGCAAACAGTTTTACCTCCTAAGTCCAGGGGTTGAGCAGCCTTAATGTAAATCCTTTCTTAGGTTTAAACTCTTCCAAGCCTCAACCATCATTGCCTATCTCCCCTTTAGACTTCCCTTCTGTCAAATTATGCTGTTTGTAACATACAGAAGTGGATTCTCAGCTTCTCCTCGCCTGGAAGGGCTGAGTGGACTGGCAAACATATGGACCATTAGGAATGCAGAGGCAAGGATTCAACAAATCTCCACAAGAGGCTGCAATACTTCACTTGGAAAAAAAAACAAAAAAAAACACTCCAGATTATTTACAGCTTTAAAAATAAATTTTAAAAAAATAATTAAAAAATCCAATGTCCAGAGGACACACAGGCGCGCACACACACACACAAAATCAAATAAATAAAAGGGTGTTTCTAATTTAGTGGAAGTATTCCCCCTTGCCTAGTGGATTAAATACATTGAAAGCAACATTCTTTCAGGACACCTTGTGAAACTGGTTCAAAACCTGCCAACTCCCTGCCTAGCTGGTGTCTTAATTCTTCACCAGCAATTTTTCAATGCACTCCTCACACCTCCATTAATTTTCAGAAGTAACTTTTGGTAATACCCTGCCATCCATTTCACTCCTGCAGCATCCTGATTCTGGCCTCACAAGCAGCATATGGGGAGCCCCAACCAGCCCATCAGCTCTTGCTGGGCATCTTCCAAAGAGACAGAATACACAACTTTATTACCATATTCATTCTCACAATGCAAAAATATCAAATTATTATTATTATTCAATCAAATTTGGCTGTATACATCTGCACAGATGTGGGGAAGAGCTGTGGGTAGACCTACACACCAGCCAGTGATTAACATTGGTGCTCTTGCAGGGGATTGCAGGGCTGTGAAGCCATTTTTAGGGACCTGTGCCATCCTACAGCAGTTTGTAGTTCGATAGCAAGAGCAGGAGAAGAGGAAGAGGCACCTGTTTTATGAAAGACTGGCTTTCTGCAATGCCCTTGTCACTTCTCTGAATGGCCACAGTCACCTCAGCAGGAAAGCAAGGATTTTGCCTTTTACCTATAAGAGAGGTTACAAGTCTGTTAAAACTATTTGCTGAAGGGATTATTGCACTAGCTCTTAGATGTGTAGATTTATGGAATTGATCAGTGGAAGCCCTCATGTGCAAAGTCTGTAGGGTCTGTTGCAACATCAGAAGGAGCCCGCCTGAAAGGAGGAAACAAGAAAGTGACAAGGAAAGAGACAGAGAATTCCTACTAAGTAACATGAAGGGTTATGTTTGGAATCACTCGTTCTAACACTAAAACCTAATGATAAAGAAGCAAGACTCAGTTCCAAGCAACTGAAAGGTGGATTCACATCTGTGGTCAAAGGTCCTGCTTTTCCTTCGCATTTGCTTGTGGTGACTTTATTAGTGGACTGTAAGAACTGTAGAGAAGCACTAGGCCAGGCAGCAGTGCCTTGGACTTTCAGAGTGGGCTCTCACTTGCAGCAACACCAGTTTCAGAGGGCAGCACTGCCGCTCCCAGCAGAGGCGGAACCCGGGCAATCCCCGGCCCGCTCCCGAGCCGCCGCCGACTGAGGGCGCTCCGGGGCCCCTCTGCGCCCGGCTGGGGCGGAAGTGCGGGCGAGCGGGGCT